TGTAACATGTTTATCTATAGTTGAGGTGTAGTGTCTTATTTTTTATAAATAAAAAAAATGTAGGTATCAATAGTGACTGGACTAAATGTAGTTAAGTTAGATTATATTAGTAGCATTCGAATTCAAAATCAGAAACTTCTATACGAGCTCTAAGGGAGAACACCATTAAGAGAAAAGCCGTGTGTCACTCACAGGGCCAGTTAAATTAAGCTTAGCTTAGCTAGTATTTAGCTACATTCGATACACACTATGTTATATCCTCTACTTCGCAATTCCTGGAACCACATTGGCAAAAAACACCCAATTCTCGAATTAGATATTAGCCTAATTTACGGACCGATTGGATGTGGGTAGTTCACGTAGGTGGGGGCCGCAAAGGCGGTTAAATTCGACAATTACGCCGAAAACGCATCCGCGATTCTAGCCTTTATCACTTAAGATATTTAGCACACATTCGCATACGCAGGGTATCCGACAAATTTGGTATCGCTCCAAATTAATTATGCGAGTTTGTCACGTACCTCACCAAAAGAGGTACAAACGTCTGTGCGCCTTGTATGGCTCGTCCCTCAGGAAGGAAATGTGTGATTGAACTCTGTATTAGACCTTCGTAAATTGGTTATGGTGGTTTTTCGAGAACGCCCGGAAGCGTTTGACAACTTCCGATGGTGTTGTGGTGCTTGCAAATATTACGCCATTTTAGTTAACATTTTTACTCAAAATGAAAAATCTAGTTTTGCGCAAGATTATTTTCTTTTATATTTTTGTGGTATGTAAGATTCTTCTTCTCTCTTTTATTACAACCGTTTAAAACTTACATTGTAGGTACGTAAGTGAAAATGTACTGGAAATAAGAAATACTATATTTGGTTTGAATAAACTGCTATGTATCATATAAAGGCACGTGTATCTTTTTGCAAAATACATGTTTAGAACACAAATTTAGTTGAGTAGATATATTGCTATTTTTGTATGTATCATGTTTTTCATAAATTCGCTATGCAATTTCGGCCTTGCTTCCGACGTTTCCACCCCGAGTGCGACGAACTTGAAAGGAAATGTCTTTAGATAAACCGTCAGCAGATATAAATTACGAGGCTCGATTGAGCCTTGCTTAGCAATTACAAGTAAGTGAACTGGCGGTTTCGCGATTTATACCGAGAAACTCGCTTGCGGTTGCTTAGGATTTAATTTTATTCTGTCGCCACTCGGCGGCCGTCGGAACACTGTATAAAGATTATCCGTCTTGTGTTTTTAATTGTATATGCGCCTAGATAATAAATAAATAAACATTGATTACATAAAACACTTTTAACGGTTTAAAATGTGAAATGTATTAGTTAAAGTAAGCAGCAGCCGTGGCGGGATCACGGCTACTGTAAAGCATCCGGAGGTTGGGCCCCAGTGAAAATAAATTATAAGTCAGTCCAACTCATACATTTCGCCTTTTAAACCGTTAAAAGTGTGTTATTTACTCAATGTTCATTCATTGTTTAATTTTTTAAATTTGTACCACTCGCGTAATCCTTATTTTGCTTTAACATTGATAATTACGAAATATTAAGGACACACATGTTGCCTAGCATTGCGCTAAGCTCGAAGGTCCTGGATTCGAATCCCGGGGAACGAAAAAAATTGTTTTTGATCGGGCAGAGAACTATACTTTGATCAACTGTTTACCTGCAATTAAATCGATCAGTGAAACGGACATAGAACAGTGTTCGCTCCGTACCCTATGGAGTGCAGCGGGTATCACCCACTTGTAATCTTAATATAGTTAGCATAGGTAATTAAAAATATAAAAAAAGATACAATGCTATGACAGGACAAGTTAAGAATTTGAAAAGGTATCAGAATTGAAATTATTAATATTTTTGATATAATATTAGGAAACGACAGCTTATTAATATGAATATAAATTCTAACGTCAGATCGAAAAGTCTGTGACGTCATTAGCTTATATATTTGACAGACTCCGATTATTTTACTAGACGCTAGTTTGAAATCTAAAAGCATAGATAGACTACAGTATTTTGTATAGCTTGCGGTTAGGAGCGGTTCGGCGATGTTTATCCAGCCCGGTTGCATCGGCTATTGCCCTTGCAGTGTGAATATCCTCTATAAATGCTCGAATAGATATTAAACTATAAGGAAGTTGGCTCGCACGAAACCGGTATTGCCTTTGAAAGGGTCTAAAGTTAGCTCCTTGTACTATTCCTTTTTGCACTCGTGGAGTTGGGAGAAAGGTGATATGTTTGATTGGCCCGATATTGAAGGTTGAATTGTGTGTTTATGCTGTTTTTAGAATAGAGATTAGAAGAAAAAAAAGTTAAAAACTGTAAGATAGCGATAATTTAAAGGGCAATATACGATTTTAGGTGCCGTACAAAAAATACTTCTTAGAACAGTAGTCGCCTGGCTCCGTTGGCACCCGCTCTGACATGCTTTTTCAATTTATATTTTTCTCAAACATGTCTTTGTCCCGCAAACTGGATGTTAAATGGATGGCAGGAATATCGAAATTCCCTCTGAGTCATGAACCACCGTCCACAGATGCACCGTTTCGGTTTAATTCTGTCGATTTCCAAAGCCAAAATAGGCCAACCGCGTACTTTACTGATATATTATATCAGGTATTTCATCTTCAATTATTCCGTTAGCTTTGTCTTCCTTTATGATAAAAAAGTAGTTGCTATCTTTCAAAATAATATAAAGATTTTGTAAACTAATATATGATATTAATATTTGGTCTTTAACGATAGTATTGTTTAAATATATATTGTTCTCAGCCAAAACAGTACTGAACGGTAGCAATATCCAACATAAACAAGAATGTACAACTAGTTTGTTATCGCCTTTCCTAAAAACCACTTAGATACATGAATCACAACGTTGTGTTGCTATTGAGTTGCATAGTGAATCATACATTGCATTGAAATAGTTGTCAAATAAGTAAAAGAATACACAAAAAGATTTGAAACCGGAAGATTTAAAGGGGACACAGGGAGGTGGAAAATCCAAAGTCCTCCTTAGAGAGGAAATGGAGAAATGGGTGAAATAGTCAGCAGATAATGTGACTGATCACCCAGGCTTACCCAAAGAGAATAAAAATAAGATATTGACACTTCTAATGATACATTCTTCGCGGTTCAACGATTTTAAGGATTCCAATTATGGCAAGGGCTGTGGGTTCGAATTTTTAATATTTTCCGGTCACCTGAGTATCGTGGGTCTAACTAAGATATGACCCTATAAATATGATTGATCTGTGAAACAGACACAGAATTGCGTCTATCGTCGACCGCTAATGGAAACAGGACTTCAAACATAATATTCGATATTTTACTCTTTTAATATTATCTTCGTAGCCATTGTGGGTAGTTTGATTTTTCTACTTGTATACTTTCATCTTAATGTTCCTGTTAACAGTAGAAATTTCAACACAAAAAATTAACACGTCGAGAGTTTTAAATGATGACAAAGACAGATCGAATTAGCACAAATTTTTTCGTCATATGTCTCCCGCGCAGCCGCGAAATAGTGACATTTTGCACGCGTTGATGGATTCTTGGGTATGAACTAATTTCCGATTTTGGTTATACTAGGCATTGTAATTTAAGTTTGGAAGTTTAATATAAATTTAGGCGGATGAATTTGCATACAAGCACTGTATTTATTTAATATGCCTATTGTAATGGGAACGAATGTGGTTGATTTTTCTTTTTACTCTCCAGGGTTAGTTTCTATATCACAAAAAAAGATTTAAAAATCATTGAAATTAGTAAAGGAATTACAAATGGAAAGAGAACGGTTCTTTGACAAAGAAAATATTTTAGTTTCTTCTCTTTTTTAGATAATAATTTAGATCTATCATTAGAAAATACGTTTTTGTTATCTTTTTTTTTCTTTACATAATGACATTTAGCCCTTGGTCGATATACCTACGCCCCCCAGATGATTCCTAATTTGAACTACACCTAATGATTCACGCGGCACGTGTCCGCCGCAACATATGGCTCTGACAGGACACGATTTAATTCGGCGCGTGCGCATAAAATAGCTATTTACGGATTGGTTACCGCCGGTTAACCTGTTGTCTGTTTCGAATAGATCGTTCACCTTTATCTAATCGTTGCCGGATGCTGTATGGTAGCCAGAAGCCCTTATAATGTTTGTCTATTAATGGCCTGACCTTTGTGTGTATTGGAACTTTATATGAATAGAATTAGTTGCTTCTGAGCTGTGTTAAAGGCAAAGTACTTGGGTATTATATAGAACAGAATATTGTATACGTATTCTTCGACCTACTGTTTCGACTTTTTTTAGATTGAGGATAAGCATGGATTCACTTATGGTAGTTGAAATACGCCAGCCAATACGTCTAAACGAAATGTGCTGCCGACCTATTTTAGATATTAATAAAGATTATTAAACGGTTTTATTTAACTCGACCCATACGGAATTTATTAATTCGGGTCAAAATTAGAAATTGAAACTTAAGCACCTTCTCGTTGTTAGATTGATCTGAAATTTGGTACGCACATTTAATTCAAATGACAATACAATATAATAAAATCAATAATATTATAAATCCAAGATGACCGCCGATACAAAATGGCGGATTACATATTTTTCCTTAGCCCATTCAATATGGGTATCAAATGAAATGTGTTTACTAGTGTAGCCCACACTAGTAAAACACGATGATTGTTTTTTTATTTGTTTTCAGTGCACAAAAAATAAAAACCGTTTAACTTAAAAGGTTTTTTAACGATTTTTATTTCATTTAAACGTTGCTCTGACAGTATTTAAAAGAGTGGTCGAACGCATATACTAAATAGATAAGTGGTATTTTGTATGTCTTCAAAAATGAAACAAAATGTTTCAAAGTTTCTCCTTGCACCGACAGTGTATAAACTAAGTGCTTGTTTATTTTAATTTTAGTAATTAGTATAACTTAAAAAGCGATAATAATGACTAAATTGTGCTGTACATTTCAGCCATACGCCGAGGCACAGAGAACCAGCCGTCGAAAAAGCCGCGCAGCGACGGCACCGGCAATGAAAATGCGAGTACAGGCAGAGATCACCTCGCCTACAGCTGCCTGCTACGGAATGAGCTGCTGGGTGCACAGATCGAGGAGCTTCGCGGCCCCCCGACACCGTGCTCCGAGGGTAACAGAGCGGCCCTGGGTGCGGTTCAACTGGCATCGGCTGCGAAGGCCGCTGCCGCCTTCTCGCCTCCAGTGTTCCGGTTTAGAGCACCCACGTATAGCGCTGAGGTAAGAAATAATCATATTATGTATTCCTATTTGTGCTTACAAACAACAACATTAAACAAATTTAACGGTTTTAAACGCAAAACTTATTAGGTATTCCTTCTACGACGCGACTTTTCGGATTCTTTGCAGCAGCCGTTGCAGTGGTTACGGGGGGAGACTGTAGGACCTAGTGTATTATATTTTACAATTTCGTTATGAGATTGATGTATGCGTCAGGTTCAATCATTGATTGATGTAGACTAGGTGTTTTCTATTACAGTTAATGATTGTTTTTCGTATTTTTATTCCCGATTATAGGATAAAACTGTTTGGCTCCGCGCGTGTAACCGTTATATTCGACGCCGGATTCGCGTCATTACAATATATTACCAGGCGAAGGGTGAAGACCTGATGCAGTTTTCTCGTTCAAGTAAATAATAATATTTTTGAGCATTAAGTGCCGCTAACTACTACAGGGATTTTCTCGATCTTGTGATTGAAACCAAAACGCGATTCTTAGCCTTTTCGTCTGTGGACGTTGTTTAGTGACCCGCATAGAATTTGGCCGAAATCACGACCTGCACATTGTTACCATCTGATCAACGAGCCGGTCATCGTAACTTGAAAAAATAGAAACATACAGTTACATTAAAAAGCTAGCCAGCAGGTATATTCAAAGTAAAAAATCATTTATTCATGTAAGTAACTAGTCACACTTAGAACATCAAACTAGTAAATTAAATTTCAAATTGACATATACCAGTTCAAATAAAGGCTGTAGCACGAACGAGAAGAAATGGCTACCAGAAACCCAAAAATGTATTATGTAATATATGGGATAGATATATGCATAATGCACGAAACAAAGTTGAACAACACTGCTTGTATAAATTTGGTCCAGGTAGCCATTTCTATACCCATATTTGCATTTTTCCCTCGCATTACACCTACATCACACATTTTATTAGTGCCATCATATTCTCAAATTGATACGCACGTCCGAAAAATGTTTTCTAAATCTGGACACGACGAACCGAGTCCAGGTAAGCCAATAACTATTTAGACTGGGCTATATCCCTAAAATATTGGCCATAACTTAAGTAATTCGTTTTACCTTTAATTACGGCGTGTGATTTAAGATAAAACACACATTCCCACTTTTAATAACCCAGTTTAGTGCGGAGATAAATCAAATTCGGCTCATTAATGTTTGTTATTTTCGACTGAAAACCCGATAAAAAGTAATTTATTTAAAAATATAGGTGCCCTAAAAGTGTTTACTTTTTTTTGTAAATGTTCTTTCATGTCAGCCAGCATGGATATTTTAGTTTTTACCCGCTGTGAGAATAAAAATTGCAATAATACATTGAATGCCGTCACTGGTAAGCAATCTGTAAGTTTTTGTAACTTTTTAAATCCATACCCTCGAACTATGGCGTTCTTTAGATATTAACATACTATAAAAATTAATAACCACGAGTTGGTTTTTAAGTCGAATATAACAGAATTTTAATGGCGTGCGCTGGCGCAAATTTGCGCCTGTAATTAGAATATACCTGCGTAAAACGGTGCGTACAGCACTAAATTGCATATTTGGCTAATTGCAGAAACTTTTATCGAGTTCTTGATGTACCTACTCGTATTTATTGTTCGAATATTTTTTTTTGTAAAAACGGAAAAAAAGAAGTTAACTTTTCTGTCAACTTTTTTTAAGTAAAAATATTTATGGTAATAATATTTTTTTGTAACTATGATGAAGTTCATAGTCAGTTTGAACGGTTATAAACACGAAATATATAAGCACTCGATTATTATACCTGGCATTTCGCATGCTTTGAAGAACTATGACTTAAGTCTTTGTGGCCCGGGGGGGGGGGGTTTTTCCCCGGCCCCCCCCCCCCTCCCCACCCCCGGGGGGGGGGGGTTTTATTTTTTTTTTTTTTTTTTAGTGCCAAATGTTTTTGTTTATTTAAGTATTAAATCATGTAAGTCATCAAGGCTGTGGATAAGACTTTGATGTTCAAACAGAATTTATGGCAGTGATTTTTGCTTTTGTTAAATTTGACGAGTTTAGATGTCGTCATGTACTGTCCGAATGCATCTCGTTTTATTGTTGATCGTTGATTTCCATCCGCCATAAAACGCCTCTGCAATTTCTGAATTGTTGTGACCTTTTGACAAGTCTCAGGCTTCGGTATATTGTATAAAAATTATAAGGACAAACACTACTGTTTATTCAAGACAATTTAGAGTAAAATTTTACGTTGAAATGTGTGCTTTTTGTCTGCCTTCATTGATTATTGCTACATTCATATGTTTTATTTCATTTATCTTTACTAGATTATGTTTAACACTTTTCCTATTAGCTAAGGCATTTATTCCACGTATTTTCTATTTATGATATGAAAGTCTTTAAAGCGAATACATTTTACTTCGCACAAGGTAACAATTTAGTTAAATAAAAATGATTTAATTAATACACTTTTTAAAGTTATAGATTTTAAACAGTTACAATATAAAGTAAATTTTGTAACAACTTATATAAGAACTTATAAGAATCGAATTCAAATACGTCTTTAAATGTCGGGTAAAATTATTTAAATGTCTAGATATTTTTTAATATAATATCATCGTTAGTTGGAAAATTGAAGTTGAAATATGCGTATACCTTTTTTTTAATCCGTTAATCTAACAATTTTATCACAATACTAATTTAATACAACGAAAACATTTTAAATCCCTAGCGGCCCTGATTAGCCAGTTACGTATCGAGGAAATTAAGTGAATTAAACTTTTGATTGCATTGACCCCGCCACTTAACCCGGGTGGTTCTAAATAAATATTATATTCCGATTCAAATTGGACGTAACGACACGTGAAGCGGGGAATGTAATGTGGGTACACAGTGTACTGAATAAGCCAGTAGGAGTGTTCGATCACATTGTTTCTATTTCTTGTTTGTGTTGTTCTCAAAATTATTACATCTTAAACACTGTCTGTAGTTTATGCGAGTAGTGCAAAATATATTAGCTAAACTTGTTCAACAATTATTTTTAACTGCGGCCCGACGTTTCGGATGTTGAGCAGCAGCCGTGGTCACAGGAAGACAACATCCCAAAAGGCATCCGAGACCTACTAATTTTAGAGTACAACTTTTAGAATAACTTTGTAAAAACATATAAAATTTAAACTGCTAATTAATATTATCAGTGCTACATAATAATTCTCAATTATATACAACAAAGTTAATGGTTTCAGCCTTACTGTTTATTCTGTATTCTGTGTGTGGGTCGTATTTACAAAAACGTGAATTTTTGTAATAAAGAGCGCGCAACTAAGAGGTTTATCGTATTGATGTTGTTTTGAACCTTTTATGTGAAATTATTATTTGGAATAAAAACCGCATAAGCTTAGGGCGTTTCTGATATTATTCCTTGTCATTTGTTAAATGTTAGCTTAGTTATTAAAGTAGGTCATATAAACACTATCTATTAATAGTGAAGACTACACGCGTATAGTTTACTTATTTCTTCGCAACTTGTTCAGCTATTTTAGAAATAAGGCGTTACAAACAGACATTTCATTTCATATGTAATGCGGATATGTTAGATGTCAAATTTAACAAACGTGGTAAATTAACGCTAGTGCAAGCACTGTGTATAGTTTACGCGAGTAGTACACATTTAAATAAAACACTTAAACGGTTTAAAACGCGATATTTTATTAGTTAAACTTATGCTGGTGTCCCATCTTTGAGAACTACTCAAGAAGCTAAATCATTTCTTACTTTGCTTGTCGGTTGACTCGCTAGTTCAATTGGTTAGAGCACGCAACGCTCACCATGCCGGTTCAAGTCCTGCCCGAGTTGTAAATTTTTCAATTTATTTCGATATTTATATAAGTCGGCTCGTAGTTAAATAAGGTTAATAATATAAAACGCGTCTTGAACCGTTACAAGTGTTTTATTAATATTAAAAGGCTTATGGTAATTTATAAGGATTTACAAAGAATAGTAGTTTAGCAATGTTTGTTTTAAATTTCTTTATATTAAATGTACAGATGCAGATGGGTTTAAACACTTATTTATAATCTCATCAATTTGAAGTGCTGAAATTTGAAACTTTGCTTAGCCGTGTATCTTGTGTCGCAAATGTCGGCTTAGTCACAATAACGCCGCTATTTTGTTTTACGAATTGGATTCTTGTCGTTTAATAGATATTGTTAGAACAATGCGTAAGCCTCAATTATTGGGAATTGAAATTGCTAGTGGTTTATCGCTAGATGTGGGTTGTATCTATCACCTCGTACTTTAGCTTAAAAGCTTTAGATAGATACGGTCTAAAGACTTATTTTAAATTAAATTGATTGTCACTGTAAAAACTGAAAAAGCCATGTATAAAAACAAATAATATAAGCTTCTAAATAAAACACTTTAACGGTTTAAAACGTGATATATTAGTTAAACTTATTTGGAAATGATTTTTAACTTCGGCCCGACGTTTCGGATGCTTTTCAGCAGCCGTGGTCACCGGGAGACACCCCCCCCCCCCCCCCCCCCCCCCGTTTTATTTAAATGTGTACTACTCGCGTAAACTATAGACAGTATTTAATATAAGCTTTACATTGTTATTCGATTCGTAGTAATTCTATACTAAGATTATTAAGCTGGAGAGTTTGTTTGTTCGAACGCGCTAATCTCCAGTCCTACTGGTTTGAATAGAAAATTCATTTTGTGTTAGAGCATTTTTTGGAGGAAGGATTTTAAAATATCAGGCCACGCCCAACATGAGCAAAGAAGCAGAGGGAAATGTGAAAAGATTTGGGAAAATTATTCATCTTGTGAGGGTTTTTGTTGTATGCGCTGCTAAAACGGTTCAAGATACCATAAAAATGTGAATTAAAATCGACGAGACATGAACGAAGTCGTGGGTACCTAATATAAGAGTGTAAATCGAACTACTTTCTTGTAAAAAATCCCTGCCATTCTCCCATGCCCCACAGACGGCAACGGGATTCACTAC